TGAAAATCACAATTTCGGTTGTAGTCATGGATATTTGTTTTGAATAATAAAATGCATTTGTATATATAAATGCATGGAACGCACATGATTTTATTTCGAATAAAGTATTGTCTACATGATTCTCTGTAATTTAATCCAAATATCAATCGTATAACCCTTTTCTGAGAAATGAATATTTTATTTAGTTTTGTGCAACAGCCCCACACAGCAATGTTGTAAGAAATATGGGAGTATACAATTGCAAAATATACATTCAAGAGCTGTGCCTTACTGAATGTTGACTTCAACTGTCTAATTGCATAATATTCAGTGTTTACTTTCTTGGTAACTTGATTCATAGTCGACTCCCAGGTCATGTTACTATCGATGTAGGTACCCAGAAATTTCACTTCATTTGATGATTCAATTGTCTCATCGCCTACTCTTACGTTGAAATTATCAATTTTTTTTGTAGCTTCGGAGTAGAACTGCATTAAAACTGTTTTTCTCGAATTTACTACCAAACAATTCTTTATACACCAGCTTGTGAACTCCAGACTCAGCAAATTCAATTTTTCTTGAAGTTCCTCTGGGGTAGCGGCATCCGCGGCAAGCGTAGTATCATCAGCATACAGAACTATATAATCTGTGCTTATATGATTTGGCATATCATTAATAAAAAGGAGAAAGATTAGGGGACCCAATATAGACCCCTGAGGAACTCCTAAGTCCATATCATACGACTGTGATCGACATTCATCAAATTATAATAAATTATAATTACTCTTTCGATACCTTCATCTTCACCACATCAGTAGAAGATCTTTGCAACTTCCTGTTCTCGTACTCCGAGAAAAAAAAAACAGATATTGAATTGCATTAATCAATATTGAATTTCATTATCACGAAAACAAGTCATAATTAGATGTCGCAGATTTCAGCCGTGAATAATCCATCCAACTTCTTTTCCCAACTACATATGGATAATATAATATCCTTGAACTTGATCTTATTACCCTAAAATTCGAGCACATTAAACGAGTAGATTGTAACACGTTTTCAAGTTGGGTTTGGCAGGAGCCATTTACTACCATATTCTCCTGCTATGATATGATTGGGATCCTCCTGCAGTCCACTCGAAGTATTTTTCAGATGTCTTTGATACTATAGTTTTCCAGTAAACATTGAGAATGCTCTACAGAGGAATTCAAACTTCAGATGGATTAAATCTCTGATTGTATTCGTTGTGATATTTTGTCTTGAATCAAATTGGCAGATGCCATGAGGCATTCATTTGAAGTAAAAAACTACTCAGTACTTGTACCACTCTAAGTAATCATCACACCTGACAGTGGTGCAAATATGGTGATAGCTAAAATAGGCCATGTTATTAACAATGGACTCAATTATGTTATATTTGTATTATGTACTCCAAATCAAGCAAAGATAAACTATGCTGAGGTATACAAAGGAACCTAAGCCTCTATATTTGCTAAAAAAAGCTTTCAGTAGTTCATTTATGGTCAACAGTCAACTTATATTACTGATCATTCATTTCTCATAACCATTTGTGAGATAGGAATAAAATTCTCATCTTGGCTAATGCACGACTACAGAGATGGGCTATCATCTTGTCATTCCATTCATAGAATATAGTTCATTAGAAGCCGACAGAAATGCAGACCATTTGAATCGGTTCTCCACCAAAACTCTGATGTGAAAAAAGCATCGACTTTCACATGATTCCAAAATTCATTTTCAACTACGGAGAACATTTCGAAAAAAACTCAGAGGTACTTCAAAATACTGAGCATGGTCGGCAGTCTGTAATGTCGGATAAAAATATGAATCATATATTATGAGGCGCAATGAACTAGGAATTGGAATTGGTTGTCCATTTTGGAGTTGTCGCACTATCATTCTTTCGATATTCAACACCCAGTTATTGTCAGGATGGGGCAGAGGGTTAGAAGTGATATTTGGTGGCCAAGAATTGATCAAGAAATTGAAATGCTAGTAGAGAACTGCGAACCATATCAAATGTATGTATGAAGCAGGAAAGAAATATAAAGTGAATACCTCTGAATACGATACCAAGTCATTGGAATACAATCATTATTGATTTCTTGAAAATTGAGAATGCTGATGTATTGATTATATTGATAATACCTCATATTGAATGAAGCTGTGAGAATTAAATAAATCAGTGATTCATTCAGACAGTCAGTACGGTGTCGCGTCAATTGGACGTGGAAAATTGGACGCACGACTATTGGTCGCAGTCAATTGGACGCGGCGACAATTGCGACAATTAGACGCGGCGTCAATTAGACGCGACGACAATTCGACGCGGCGACAATTGGACGCATGCGTAAATAAAAATAATTTTATAATTCCAATGAAATTCATTGTATAAAATATGAAATACTGATGGGCTTATGTCCATAATTATAACAAATACCTATGGCCTCGTTTGACAATTATTTTCCTATCTCATATCGTAATATGAATTCACGATACGAATATAGTACAATATTTTACCTACTAACAAAAACGCAGATTATTTAATCAAATATGAGGGTTGGGTTGGGTTAGGTTAGGTTAGGTAGGTTAGGTAGGTTAGGTTAGGTATTTATATTATGGATATGAGCCCTGCATATTCCATAAATTTCATTGGAATTATAAAATTATTTTTATTTTCGCATGCGCTCAATTGTCGCCGCGTCCAATTTTCGTCGCGTCCAATTGTCGCCGCGTCCAATTGTCGCAGCGTCCAATTGTCGCCGCGTCCAATTTTCGCCGCGTTCAATCGTCGCCGCGTCCAATTATCCGCGTTCAATTTTCATGCGTCCAATTGACCACGTCCAATTGTCGGTAATCCCCAGAGTATACATAACTTTGTTATGTATGTTGAAGAAAAAACCTTCAGACTATTCAAACAGTAAGTGGTCGAATAAACTGTATACATTTCAGGCAAAAAATAATATATCTCCGAGTGGAAACAAACAAAACTGAGAAGAACGACCCTCCTGGTGAAAATACTTCAATTCTGATACAAAATCTGCTCGATACAGGTTTCTATTCCAAAGCCACTCACTTGAGATTCATAATCAGAAGTAAGGAGGTATGGAAAAAGAAATGGGAGATGTTGAAGGAAATATAAGGCCCATATTGGGAATCCATGGTGAGGAATTATTAGGAATCCATTTGAAACAATGTAACGAAAAGTATTTCATTTCAGATGATCCTTTGCTAATTTTATGTACCAGTACAGGACTGTTCTTGTACGGAAAATCAAGGTTGCTGAGGATTGTTTTCAAGTCATGTCAAGTGTTTATGTGCTTATCAATATGTATCAGTTTATTTTGCATTCTGATTTGGGAGTCTTCTCCCATTTTTATGTGTTTGGAATATCTTCCACACCTAGGATTCTGTGCAACGGTGAGTAGTCACAAGAATGCTTGCTCTCACATCACCAAATGATCAACTCGAAAATAGGGCAATTCCGATTCGCAATTATTGTTGTATGAATCATGAAATTCATCCAAAACTCAAAGTGTTTCGAAAATGGAACAAATAATAAAAAGTCTGTCGACCACACTCAATGAGAACATGAAATCATAAATATGTAACTAGTTGCGGCACTACGCCCATCATCAGACAAAATAATATCAGGCTATATCAAATCTTACGATTATTAAAAACTCAATCATGGTGATGTGTCTTCACGGGCTGTTCCTGACAACCAGATGACGAAACTTCACGCATCAGATGAAATAGTTTGGTATTCTTTCCTTTTTCGTAACCGGTTCCAGGTTTTTGATTTTATGTTTATTCGAAGTGTGGTCGACTAACTTCGTGTTGTTTGTGATTCTTTCGATCGTTTAATGTTACCCCAAACCTCACGATAGCAGCAGATATTGTGGAAGACATTTTCAGATCCCTGTGTATATCAACAACTGAAATGAACAACTCATGATTAGGAACCAATCATTCAGAAACTCGTTCGATAAATCTATGAAATCATTCTTGAGTGTTTTTCTATTCATTTCTGTTAAACCTTGTTCATTGGTTGTTCGGAATTGCTCTAGTTTCCGCATTCTCCCCAATCTCCTTGAAATGGATAATAACTATCTGAATATGTATTCTGTTCAAATGGGAATTCAATTGCTGATGACAATAATATAATGCACTAAATAGACCATTGCGGAAAACTTTCCCTTTTTTTTTTTAATTCTAATCTGGGGTAGGCTATCGATAGTCATATATCACGTTATGTGATGAGAATATTATCATATCCTTCTAGATTCACTTCCTCCTGTTGCTCTGGAAGACAATAGATGATTTTTCTTGACACCGGTACAAGAAAAATGAAATCTGATGAATTTGATGAAAATCCTGAGATAAGAGCGTGTGGAAAAGTTGATAATAGTTGTTGATATACCCAATTTTATATCATTATGTTTTCCACCATCATCATCATTGATATTCACTTCACAGTGCGTCCATAATGTAACGTATAAATGCATTATTGGCTAGATTAACGATGAAATCAGAAAGGATTTCATTCCTGTCAAACCTGTTCATAAGTTGTTCAAAATTGTACTAGTATCTGCAATACGATTCATTGTACCCACTCTTCTTGAAATGAATAATAACTCTCTGAATATGTATTCAGGAGGGGTCCAAGAACTCACAGTTACCACTTCACCACATGAACAATTCAATAATAAACAATGGTCATGGACAAAATTACATGTGTCGAATGATTATTGTTTCCTCATCAGCAAATTCATAAAAAAAAGAAAATCTGTGAGAATAAGACAACGTTCATGTTAGTTTCCGAGAAATGTTGGAAAGTCTGAATATACCTACCATAGTTGGTGAAAAATGATTACTGAAATAACCTGAGAATTTTTTTCTAACCGCGCATAGTGCGGGTGAGTAGCTGTTAGAAAACAAACTAATAAGGTACTTTCTAGGTCGTGGAAGTTTTGAAAAAGAGACTCCATGAGTTCTAGGGAAATAGAGCTGAAGAAAGAGAGGAATAGATATTCAGATGTTGACACAGACGTGAATGAAAAGTTATCTGAAAATTCATTGGCATATTTCAAGTGGAGTCGAGCAATTGATTAATTTGTTCAGCTTTGAAAATGTCATTGTTTGAGGGTATTCTGAAGAGTCTATGAAAAAGTGCATGAAAAGCTGAAAATTTCTGAGTGTATTAAAACCTATGAACTTCTGGAAGTTAATTTGGAACAGTTCTATTTTGATTTTCCTTCTGCCACATTGATAAAGATTAATCGAATATACTGGTTGATTCGCGATTGAGTTCCCACGTGCGCATCATTTTCCTCAAACAGAACACTCTATATAGTATTCTGCTCTATAAATCTCCTTGAAGAACTGAATTCGAAAATATATAACATGACAGGGTTTGCATGAAACAAGTGCTATTTCGAAGTAGTGGATGAATTCGTTGAAAATTATTGTGAAAATAATTCTTGAAAAGACGGCCGAAGCCGTCGAATTTTAAATCAATTCGTCCATCTTCCCAAATTCTATTGATACATACAGATTGATTCGTATATGGGAGAGATTAGGTCAGCGATATTTTTGTTATAGCAACCTCATTTTGCGAGAATACTGAATTCAACGGACGCACTGTATAGAAACCCTATGTATAACATCATTCTGAGTACAGCTCCTCATGAAGATTCAAAAAATTTTATGAATATATAGGAGGATTGGATTAAAAAATTGACGCGAACGTCATAGCTCAAACGTGGATGACACTGTATACATTCACCACGTGAAATATAATTTTTTAATTTTTTTCTGAATGACCCCAGCGAAAAGTTCGCATAACGAATCGGTAACCTGTGATACAGCCAAGGTACAAAATAAGAAAAAGATCCTCTAAATTGAGGTGTTTTATATCTTGGTGTGAAGAGCTGATTTTTGAATCGGAGGTTGAGGTTGTGTTTGTCCGTCCTGAAACTAATTTCTCTATAATGATAGCTTGGTTCCTTTTTTTTTGATGATTTGGTGGAACAAGACAGCAGAGTGAAGAATCCGTCGCGACTCCATATTGAGCCAACCTAGATCTTTTAGGTGATGGGATACATGCTTATATCTTCTAGTTCCAGTTATCAGTCTAATGCATGAATTCTGAAGTTTTTGCAATCTACTTCTGTCGGTTTTGAGGAGTTTGAGACCATATACTACATCAGCAAAGTTGGCATGTGACAACACCTAAGATTCACATATAAGTATTTTGGTCTTTTGTTCAAGACTGTCCTGTTTGAATATATCATTTTCAGTGAATCTCAAGGAAGTGTCCAAGTTAAGTCCTAAATTTCTTGACACATCCACAAGGAGAAGCGTGACTGCGTCTGCGATTATATTCACTCTATTCGCAACACGTTTGCGCGATATCGATCCACCGAATAGCATCACTGATGACTTCACAGGGTTGACACTCAGGCAATATTTCGCAGACAATGACATCAGAGAATTCAAGTCATCATTAAGTTGCTCTTGTGTCAGATCGGAAGAGCTTTCATCAGATTCTATGTAAATTTGAGTGTCATCAGCATAACACATGATGAACGAATGTTGAAGACAATTCGGGAACTGAGATGTATACAGCACAAATAGCAAGAAGCTCCATATGGAGCCTTGAGGCACACCATTGTAGATATTGATGATATTCGACGACTTGTTTTTCAAAGTGACAAATTGAGATCGGTTCTGTGGGTAATTATTCATCAATTCAGATGCATTTGATGTTAATCCCAAGAAATGCAAGAGAGATATGAGAAGAACATGATTGATGCGATCAAACGCCTTCGAATAGTCCTACAGTACTAACAAGCAAAGTTATTTGTTGTCCATTATTTTCTGTATGTCATCAACTACTTTCAACAATGCAGTTGTACAACTGTAGTTTGCACGAAATCCAGATTGGCTCGAGGGCAAGAAATTATGTTCATTCAGATAATTTCTCATTTGTGTATTTGTTATTTTTCCAAATACTTTGGAAATTGCGCACAGAATACTAATGGACATAGATCACTAGAGCTCTCTGGGTTCTGTACTTTGGATAAAGGCAAAACAAACTGACGGATAAACATTGTGTTCGACACAGTGATTGAATATGTGAGTTATACAAGCAGTTATGATAGGGCAGCAATGTCATGGCATTTTAGCCACTGGGTTCTTCACTGATGCGGTAAAAGACATCATTGATCTTTTGCTTGACGGTATGAGGTCCTTTCCAAGATCTCTGTAGGTTTGGACAAATACCTCGCTCCCTTTGTGACTTGTTCAACCACACCAGGTCTCCTTCTGCATATCCTGCACCTTCAGCTCTAATTTCGTATCGGTCTTTCATGCGATCGCTGGCGATTTTCAGATAAGAACGAACCAATTCGTGAATATCGTTTATCTTTTTCATCAGATTCGTAACGTCAACTTTCCCTACTATTTTCTCACCAGGTCTTCATCCGAAGACCAAGTCATATGGAAGCCTCATCTCTCGTTCAAATAGAACCTTCGCCGGAGCCTGTGTTGTAGATTCCTGTACTGCAGATCTGTGGGCTATCAAGAAGAAAGGAAGATGTTGATCATAGTCTTGTTGGTGTTAATCAACGACTTTGCAGAGATACCTCCCTATGGTTTGGTTCATTCGCTCCACCATGCCATCTGACTGTGGAGTTGTTCTTGTTTTCTTCCTAACTCCTCGCTCATCTTCCTGAAGACTTCACTAGTTCAGGCCCTGATCACAATGAAGTTCCAATGGCACCCCAAAACAACTGAGGAGTTCATTCAATCATTAGGACATCGGCGACAGTTACGACCTCCTGATTAGGGATCGCATACGCTTCTACCCACTTGGTGAAGTAGTTCCTGTTATCAAGGATGTATTTATTTTCATTATCAGTCACTGGAAACGGCCCCGCAATATCCATGGCAATCCTCTCGAAATGGCTTTCAACATTGAACTGTCTCATGGGTGCCCTCGGTTAACGATGAGGCCCATTGCTGGCAGAGCACACGGTGCATTTAAGGCATCATGTACATATCTGAGTACTTCCGACACTCGTCTCCTAGGAATGACCAACTGCATCCGATTATCCAATTCAACATCGCTCTCGAGATTCATCTTGAACAGGTCATCTTCCAATATAAAGAAGTCCTAATGACTCCAGTACGCCTTCTAAGTCTGTGTAGATGGAGCTAATTCTTGCAAAAAGGGTGGCGATTCGCTTTTTCCCATTCTTTAAACTTCCGAAGTTCTGGGTCCTTTTCTTGCTCTCGCTTGATTGCTGCAGGTAACCAATCTTCATTGACAACGATGGTTTTGCAGAGGGCTGATTCCTTAATGACTATAATGTGAGCACCCAGGTGGACATGGCCTTCTGGACAATGCATCTGCATTTTTATGGCTCGTCATCACTCGGAGTGCTATCTCGAAGTCAAATACCTATAGCCTCCCAATCCAACGAGCTACTTAGCTTCCGGGGTTCCTGGAATTCAGGAGCCGTTTCAATGCAGTGTGGTCTGTCCTGAGTAGAAATTTATATCCATAAAGTTACTTGTAGAAGTGCTCCACTGATTTTACCATGACCAATAGTTTCTTCCTGGTAACGCAGCAGTTACGTTCTGCCTCTGATCGCACCTTGCTGGAGTAATCGATGACTCGCTCTCGCCCATCTTGATACTGCGAAAGGACTTCACCAATGCCGATATTACTGGCATCTGTGTCAAGAATCAATCATCCTTGTGTCAGTGGATACCCTAGAATCGGTGTCGTGGTCAAGCGTTCAGATCATCAAAGGCGGCCTGGCATTCTGGATCCCAGTGGAAGGGACGTGCTTCCTCGGTGAGACGAGTCAGATGCTTCGCAATATCCGAAAACATTCGAACGTAACGTCGATAATAGGTGCAGAGTCCAAGAAAGCTCCTGAGTTGATGCTCATCTTCTGGAACTGGCCATTGCTTCACTGCTCGTACCTTCTCAGGGTCGACTTCCACACCCTGAGTAGTTGACCTATTCTGCAGCACATGACATTTCTTCAGATTGAGTGTGAAGTTTGCAGCCTAGAGTCTCTCGGAAACTTTCTCTAGGTTAGCCAGATGTTCTTCAAAAGTTTTACCGATCACAATGATATCATCCAAATGAACCAGGCATGTCTTCCAGGAGAGTTCCTACAATACATTCTCCATGAAGGTGGCCAGAGAATTGCAGAGTTCAAAAGGCATAACCTTGAATCTCCATAATCCAGTGCCGATGGTGAGTGCTGTCTTTTCCATATCTGCTGGATCCATTACCACCTGCCAATATCCACTTTCCAGGTCCAGACTAAAGAAAATATTCAATTCCGCCAACGTGTCGGATGTGTCGTCAATTCGAGTCAAAGAATAGCTGTCCCTCTTCGTCACGTTGTTCAATCGGCGATAGTCTACGCACAAACGAGTGTTTCTATCTTCCTTTTTCACTTGTACCACTGCTGAAGCCCAAGGACTATTGGATGAGTCGATTACCTCGTCTTGTTCCGTATCCTGGATGATCTTTTCTTAAATTTTTCTCTTGGCCTGTGGTGATCTTCGGGCTGGTTGACGATTCGTTCTGGTATCTACCTTATCGAGTTTGTGACTGACGATGATGGTTCAACCTGTTTTTCCATTGGCAGGTATAAAAATGGAACTATATCTCCGCAGTAACTTGGTTAACCCCTTCTTGAATGTTCAGTGAGTCGCTTGCAGCAGAGACGAGTTTTTCATACTTGCTGTCTCCATCAGTGGTTGTTGTCACCTGGTGGATTATGGACGCTGCCGGGACTCAGGTTCCTATCTTCGTTTCTCTGCCAATCGTCAAAGGATTATTATTCATATTGATGAATCGAACAGGTACATGGTCGTCTGCTGACAGTGAAGCCTTGCCGAATATGATTACACGTCCGACTTTCTCGTCATGGTTCCAGGGTTCCATGATGATAAGACTGCCTCGCTCCAATGTACCCTCAATTCGCGCTGCTACAATGATCTCGCTCCGTTTCGGTAACAGGACGTCCTCTTCTAACTGTACCCCTGTCACTACCTCCATCCGTGGATGTAAGAAGATCTCTTCG